CACCCTGAATTTGGACTTTTAGCCTACTTTAACTGTGAGGAAATAAACTTCTCTTCATTAAAACCATCCACTTGCGGTGTTTCTGTTATAGCAGCGCTAGATGACCGAGACAAGGAGCCAGCGTGGTTTTAGCCCGTGCCGCCGGCCACAGGTGTGCTGGCAGCATAGTGTTTCCAGTGAAGTGTGAGTTTGAAGAAAGAGGGAAAAGTAGGGGATGTGGGTTTATTAGGACTTGAGATCCTGAGCCAGTTGGCCAAGCTGAACCCCAGGGTTCCTGTCCTCCTAAAGCACCTGGTTTCTCCAACCCCTTATTTATACGTCAGATAGGAGACTGAAGAAAGGAGACCAGCAAGACCAAACTCTGCATATCATCAGCCACCCTCCTTTGCCTTATTTCTTACTGTAAAAGTAATTCAAGTAAAAATCAAATAAGCCCCCTAAAATTACCTGAAATTCTGCTATCCAAAGTTACCATTAGCAGTTTGGTGCATATTCTTCCAGACTTTTCTTTTCAACCCTTCATTACAACACTGTAGTCTGCAGGTACTAGTTAAAAGATTGTTTGCTCATGGCTTAATGTCCCTCAGGCCCTGCCTTGCCTGGTCCTAAGGGCAGTGTTTCTACATAATAGGGTTGGGATGGTGGGGCAGGCTGGCGGGGTGGGGTGGGGGGGTGTTGGCAGAGTGTGTGTGTGTGTGTGTGTGTAAGTGTGTGAGAGAGAGAGAGAATGTGAATAGGAGCGAGTGAGCACATGCTTTACCGTGGTTCTGGGCAGCAGTAGGCACTCACTGCAGTTTCCCATTCCTCAGGCCTGGGCTGTGGAGACGGGAAAGTACCAGGAAGGGGTGGATGACCCTGACCCAGCTAAATGGAAGGCCCAGCTCCGCTGTGCTCTCAATAAGAGCAGGGAATTCACCTTGATGTACGATGGCACCAAGGAGGTGCCTATGAACCCAGTGAAGATCTATCAAGTGTGTGACATCCCCCAGCCTCAGGGCTCGATCATTAACCCAGGTGAGGTCCCAGCTGCTGGGGAGAAGGTGGGCAGGTATTCCAGACCCTGGGGTGGACTTCTAAAGATTACAGCCTGGCTAACCAAGTTGGAGACTAGGAAAGCCTTTCCCGAGGAAGGAATAGAGAACAAAATATGTAAACTCAGCAAAATCTTCTTGTTTCTTAGGGGAATGGTTTATTAGCTTAAATCATTAGAAAGTAGAGAGAGTATAGAGTTTTACTGTAAAAATAGCCTCCCTTGGGACTCAACGCTGAGTTAAGAGGCCAGGTAGTTTAGAAGAAGGAGAAATTACGACTTGGAAGGTTTGAGTTCTAAACCAGGCTCTTATCACTTTACTGCTTGTGTGATAGATGTCGAATCAAGTCACTTGACTTCTTGAGCCTCAATTTTTGCAAATGTGAAATGTGGACTCTCATTTCCTACCTACTTCAAAGGCTACTGTAAAAATCAATTGACATGACATATAAAAGCTATTAAGTTTTTTGTAAATGTTGGATGTGTAATCTTTTAATTTATAAGATACTTTTGCTAAGAGAATATGACCTGATTCTCCTATATAGCCAATGTTCAACAAGTACCAGCTGAGAGTCAGATAATTTAGAATTGCCCTCCAGTGAATCCAGTGAGGCCCTGAAATGAGAACTTGTTCCTCACACTCAGCTTACAAGGGTGAGAGGCTGGTGACCTTGAGTCCTTAAAAGGGATGCTAATGTGTAGGAAGAGGGTTAGAGAGGAATTAAGAGATTTCTACAAGGGAGTAAGGTCTGCAGCTGCTGGATAGGAGAGGGGAAGAGAGCTTACATTAGGGCTCTGTAGGATGAGTTGGAAGCAGCGGTTAATATACCTTTGGTTCACCCACTCTTCTTAGCTAGGGCATTGAGGGTACACACAGAACTTGAGGAGCCTCTGTGCTTAGTCCCTAGCTTGCGGGGTGGGTCAGCTGCAGGGATGGCAGTGCGGCCTTAGCTGCTCACCTCTAGGCTTGTGTCTTCGTTCGTTTCTTGGGTAGGATCCACAGGGTCTGCTCCCTGGGATGAGAAGGACAATGATGGAGATGAAGACGATGAGGAAGATGAGCTAGATCAGTCGCAGCACCATGTTCCCATCCAGGACACCTTCCCCTTCCTGAACATCAATGGTGAGTGTGGGTGGTAGGTGGCACAGAGGAATGAGGAGGATGTAAGGGGCTTTTGCCTCAGAACTCCTGACCCCTCAGCCACCACTGCACTGGGAGCAGTGACCAGGCCCTGTGGCCAGGATGCTGGTCTGTTAGCAAGCAGGAGTCATAAGCAAAGGAATTCCAGTGGCCCAGCTATCCAGTGGGGTGGGTTCTCGGCAGAGAGAAAATTTTCTGAATCTTCTGTGATAATACGAGGAAGTAAATAATTTAAATTCATTCTCAATCCCAATTATAAATATATCAGCTGTTTTAAATGTTGGTTTATTCTAGCCCAGCATAGATGTCATTTTCATGAATTGTAGGCAAATTTTTTCACTATTTCCCTTGGTATAAATTCTGGGTCCGCTGTACTTAGGCTCTGTCTTAGGAAACTACAACTGCTAATTCTAGGCTCTGATGGAATTTGCCTGCAAGAAACTTTCTCTTCTTTTGTGACCTTTTTAAATTCAGCTTCCCAGGAAAAATGAGTTGAGCCATTGTGACATAACAGGTGCTGAATCTCCTGTTGTACATTCTGAGGATTCTGGAATACAAGTTGACTTGCTCTTCTGCAGCTTCTTCACCTCAACTGTCCATTGAAATGCTCTTAGTCAAATGACACGTATGCAGCTGAGCAGCTGTTTTCTGCCTTTCGAGTACCATCTGCCTGCTATGGGTCAAATAAGATACTTGCACCATATAGAAAACCTGGTATATCAAGATGATTGCTTTAGGATTTTAGGATACTGTACTCAAGATGATGCCCCAGCTTTAAGAATCAGGAAGTGACTCTTATTGTCTATCCATTTGTCCTCCTTCACTTATCCTGCCATTTATATCTTTGCAACGAGGTGGTGAGTAAAGCAAAATTTCTTGGAGGTCTTTCGGGTCCATATTGCCACATGCTACATTCCCACTTGGTGAAATTTAAAGAGTTGAACATCTGGGAATCTGGGATCTTTTCCCAAATCCTTGACTGACTCATTCTTTTATTCTTACCCTCTGAAAGGATGCAATCTATTTCCAGGATCCTGATTTCCTATTTATGTTCATATATTATCAAAGTTGTTGTTCTGTGTCCTCTGTTTTGGCTGTCTTGAATCCTTTTTGGAAAGGTATGGGACATGTATTAAAACCCAAAAAGTAAAATGGGCACATAGATTTAACCAGGCTTATACACAAAGGGTCAAAGAAACATTAACCTCTGATTTCAGAGCTGTTGGGGCAGAGGAAGAAGAATTGTTGAAGAATCGATGCCTGAGAGGTGAGGCTAGAGCCAGAAATCTGCAGAATTTGGAGGGAGCCAACTTTGATAATAGCAGGGAAATAGGATGAATTTTTCATTATTTTAAAAAGCTTTAATTGGGTTATTTTGAATAAATAATACTTTCACATGGTTTAAAATTTATACTGGTATAAAAAGGTGATTTAGTTCAAAAGGATTCCTTTTCATCCTGTCCCGCAGCCTCTCAGTTCCTTCCCTGAAGGAGACACATGTCTAGGTTCTTGAGTATCCTTCTAGAGATATTTTATGCATGTAGAAGTATTTGTTTATTCTTAATAGAATTTTTATACACTAACATTTACTCAAAGCTAATCATCTAATTCGGTTGAGTTCATTTTATGGGAGACAATCAGCTTCTATTTGACAGCAGGGGCCACATTTTCCAACTGGGAACCTTTCACTCATGCCCATTCTAATTTAGCCCCCGGAGATAACACACTTGTCTATCTTCTCATCTTTAGCAAACACAGGTTTTTAAAACTATATGTTTATGGGAGAACTAATATGATTAGGAATGAAGGTAGGAGTAGGGGAACCTTATTTCTTATAGTGCTAGATGTGGGACTCGTTGATGGGCTAGGAAATTACCACTGGGTCATGGACTAGTGTTTGACTCTTGTTTGCTGACCTTGTTAGTTCTTAGAGCTTCAAACCAGATTATGTGTGTGTGTAGTGCCTCTGCCTGCTCATCCATATCCTTCTGTTCTAGGCTCTCCCATGGCACCAGCCAGCGTGGGCAATTGCAGTGTAGGCAATTGCAGTGTGGGCAACTGCAGCCCTGAAGCAGTGTGGCCCAAAACTGAACCTCTGGAGATGGAAGTACCCCAGACACCTATCCAGCCCCTCTATAGCTCTCCAGAGCTATGGATCAGCTCTCTCCCAAGTAAGTGAGCCCTGATCTTTCTTGCTGGGTCTTCAGCTCCTATTATGGTCCCTTTCTTGTTTGCCTTCTGCCTCCATTTCTTTGTCATGTATACCTGTGCCTGGCTCCTGGTTGGCTGATGAGTTACCAGGGGAAGACTAAAGAAACATCAGCTTATGCCTACTTGCCCCTGGTGATGCTCTGATTGGTTATAGCTCCAGGTTACTCACCTCCTAGGTGGGCGGGAGGCTGGGTTCATCAGTCTGGCTAGGAGATTTAGGGATAAGGCCAGTTATGGTCTAGAGAGGTTAATGGTCTTAGATTTAGTTAAGGAGGCTCTGGATTTCAGGAACTTTGGGACCCAGAGATAAAAATCTCTTTCTAAATTGGGTACAAGTTTATCTCAATGAAGAATCAGTCTCATTGCCCCAGCCTCCCTTTCACACTGCACAAGGTTGGGATGTGAGTACTAGAAACTGAAATTTTGTCCAAAAGACTAAGTAGCTTTGATAAGACCTGTAGGGTTCAACAGAGACTTGTTGAGTGAAGATTTACTTTGATGTGAACTCTGTCCTTTTATTGTATATTGTTTGACCAGATCCACAATGTGTGCTCCAGTGTGTATTTTCAGAAAGATGGATTTGTATTTCTTGTTGTTCCTCTGATTTCTTTAAACAATGAGCCAAAAATGAGACACAAACAAAGTATCTTACTTTTGAGTCCTTTCAATGTCCATTAATGTGAAGACTCAGTCAGTATGAAGCAAGGGTACCAGGATCCCTCACTTTGCTTGGTGAAATTCTAGCCCTAGGGTGTGACAACTGAATAGAGATAATATAGATGGACCTTGAACTGTTTGCTTCAAGGCAGCCTTTTGAGTGACTATCCCAGGGATATTTTGATGTCTCCTTTTATTGCGGGAAGGACAGCTATGGCAGTGGCCTTCGTGAAAGCTGGCTGAAAGGTAGCTTGATCTTGATGGACTTGCATGAGTCTTAGGGATGAATAGGCAGAGCAGTAGAGCAGGACTCTCATGGTCCTCTCTTATCTTGCAGTGACCGACCTGGACATCAAGTTTCAGTACCGTGGGAAGGAGTATGGGCAGACCATGACTGTGAGCAACCCCCAGGGCTGCCGGCTTTTCTATGGGGACCTGGGCCCCATGCCTGACCAGGAGGAGCTCTTTGGTCCCATCAGCCTAGAGCAGGTCAAGTTCCCAGGTCCAGAGCATATCACCAACGAGAAGCAGAAGCTTTTCACCAGCAAGCTACTGGACGTCATGGACAGAGGACTGATCCTGGAGGTCAGCGGTCATGCCATTTATGCCATCAGGCTGTGCCAGTGCAAAGTGTACTGGTCTGGGCCATGTGCCCCATCGCTTGTCGCCCCTAACCTGATTGAGAGACAAAAGAAGGTCAAGTTATTTTGCCTGGAAACATTCCTTAGTGGTGAGTCACTTTTCAGCAGGTAGATGATGAGAATTGCTTCCTGGGAGGACATCTTCCTCCTTCTATTCCTCTCTTCCTCCCCATCCTTCCCCTTCCTTACTCCTCCCTTTCCTGGCTCTGCAAAGATCTTAGTAAAAAAAAAAAAAAAAAAAATCATTTTGGAGGAAGAGAAGGGAGAAGAGAACCTTGATTCTTGAAAGTGAAAGTGACTTAGACAATAAAGAAGGGAGTTCCACTGCAAAGTTAGGTACCTGGAAGCTATTTTTTAGGTTGGTTTTGGCTCCTTCGGAGCCCTGGTGGCACAGTGGTTAAGAACTTGGCTGCTAACCAAAAGGCTAGCAGTTCAAATCCACCAGCCACTTCTTGGAAACCCTGTGGGGCAGTTCTACTCTGTCCAATAGGGTTGCTATAAGTCAGAATCAACTCAACGGCAACAGGTTGGATTGGCTCCTTTAGTAGCAGAAGAGAGAGACAACCTTGTCATCACCCCTCAGATGTTACCAGCTTATCCTAAACTTTGGAAGTTGACCCTGTTTGTCATAGTCAGCAAATCATGTACTCTTTTCTTTTGGGAAGTATCTGGGTAGTGAATTCAAGCAGACAGTTTTAGAGAAAGCATGAGATATGAGTTTTCCAATATCGTTTGACCCCCAAATGGGTTTAGTTAAACGATGTCCAATAGAAGGAACCCCCTGTGACTAATGTGACTATGGAACTATTTAATTTTAATTAATTAGCCACCTGTAACTAGTGGCTACCATATTGAACAGCATAAAAGATGGCATTGGACTAACCTAGTACACCAAACTTGCTTTTCCTCCTTCTGCAGATCTTATTGCCCACCAGAAAGGACAGATAGAGAAGCAGCCGCCATTTGAGATCTACTTATGCTTTGGGGAAGAATGGCCAGATGGGAAACCCCTGGAAAGGAAACTTATTTTGGTTCAGGTGAGGAGATAAGGATGTGTCAACAGCTCTTCTCCTTTTTGCCAATGTTTTACCTCCCAGGTCTGGGGTTGAGCCCTGAATGGTGGTATTAGACTTGGGCTTTGTACAGTAAGGCCAAGTGGGAGAATGCAGGGTACTCAAAATTGGGGCTTTGAACTGATTCAGTTATGGCCAGTAGAAACAAGGCAGGGCTGCGAACCTGTTCTAAGTGGTCCAAGGGAAACAAGGGCAGCGGTCCACATTGCATAGCAACCACATCTCTTGCATGTTGCATTTTGACTGGAGTAGGAAAGAGGCAACAGTGCCTCACTCAAAGATGGCAGCTGACTGCCGCTTTGAATGTGTGTGGTTCTCCACAGTCCTGCCGATGATCCATTCTCTGGTATCAGGCTCCTGAAAGTTTCCTGATGCGGAAGATTGGATTATTGGCTTCTGAAAAGTTTCCTGATATGAGAGATTGGAGTCACCATGTTGTGCAACCATCACTACTATCCATTTTCAAATGTTTTTCATCCTGCTGGCTCAGTGGTTAAAGCAATCGACTGCTAACTGAAAGGTTGGCAGTTTGAACCACCAGCAGCTCTGCTGCAGAAAGGTGTGGCAGTCTGCTTCCATAGAGATTTACAGAAACCCCATGGGGTTGCTATGAGTCGGAATCGACTTGATGGCAGTGGATTTAAGCAGAAACTAGGGAGCCCTGGTGGCACAATGGTTAAGTGCTTGCTGCTAACCAAAAGGTTGGTGGTTCAAACTCACCCAGTGGCTCACAGGAGAAAGGGCTGGTGATCTGCTCCCATAAAGATTACAGCCAAGAGACCCTATGGGGCAATTCTCCTCTGTTACATGGTGTTGCCATGAGTCAGAATCGACTTGATGGCACCCAACAACAACGAAATAGACTCAGTACATCTTAAGTAAAAACTCCTCATCTTCCCCTCCCCCCAGCCCCTGTTAAGAAAAGCCTTTTGAGTGCTTTTAGGAATGTAACTTTACTCTGCAAAGTGACAGAAAGGCCACTTGGGCTTGCCCTTTAGAGTTGTGTGATGAGGCAGGCAATAGATTAAATTTGGTTGAAAGTGAAGTCTTGCTATTTAGGCAGTCATTTAGTTAGGCATGTGATGTGATGCTCCATCTAGGTTCTTTACCTTGTTTTGACCAACTTCTAGAATGAACCTTGGCAGGATGGTCCAGAGAGATGAAGATGTCTCCTGTGGATATTAGAGTGGCGGGCTTCTGCAGAGCCTCGTTGGTCCTCCCTTTCATCTTGGGTGCCTCCTGTTGCTTAAAAATACCTTTTTCTCAGCGGGTATCCATGTGCTCTGTGTCCTGGGCAGGTCATTCCAGTGGTGGCTCGGATGATCTACGAGATGTTTTCTGGTGATTTCACACGATCCTTTGACAGTGGCAGTGTCCGCCTGCAGATCTCAACTCCAGACATCAAAGATAACATCGTTGCTCAGCTGAAGCAGCTGTACCGCATCCTGCAAACCCAGGAAAGCTGGCAGCCCATGCAACCCACCCCCAGCATGCAACTGCCCCCTGCCCTGCCGGCTCAGTAATCATCAATGCCATATTCTTTCTTCTCTTTTTTAGAATATTGTACATATGGATATTTTTATTATTCAGATTTAACCAGCTTTTAAATCTCTCTTCTCTCCAGCACAGTTAGTAGTTAGTCTATGACTCTTTCCAAATATGCCTAGCTTTTAAAATTGATTTAATTTATGGAAAAAATCACCCTTTAGGCTTTCCTTTTCTTTTTTAAATCCCCCAATGGTAGTGTAATGTAGTAGACGAAGATCTGGCCAGGGAGTTGGACACCAGGGTTTTAGCTGCAGCTTTGCTTTCAGTAGTGTGACCTTGAGCAAGTCACTTAACCTTTGGGCTTCAGATTCATCTCTTCTAAAGTCCAGGGGTTGGAATGATGCCGGAAATTGCATCCAGCTTTAAAACTCTGATTCGATGACTTCATTCTACATGTAGAAGGCAAAACTGCCTGGAACAGAACCCTTCTGCATTGTTCTTGTACCACGGGTTTCTTCTTCTGTTTTCATTAAAGTTCCCTCAAGCACTGATCTGTCCATGACCGAGCTCTGTCTGACCTGTTCTGCTAGTAGAGAAAGCTGGCTCTCCGATGTGGGGATGAGAGCCGGGGAGCTGGCTGGTTGCTTAGGAACCAAGCTTGACATCTAAATAGAATTGGGTGCCAAAGTCTGAAAGTCACCCTGCCTGTGGAGTAAAAGTTCATAAACTGAGCCTCTAAAGGAAAGCTGTTGACATAGAAGGCCTAGGGATTCTGTGGAAGAATGGGCTGTCGGGTGTTTACCTTGCCACCTCTCCAATACGGCTGTCTGTGGTAGATGAGAGTGTATGACGCGGGTGGTGACCTTCAGAGGAAGGAGTTCTGTTTTTCTTTTTCTTCTTTTCTTCTCTGAGGACGAGCTGGGAGTGAGTGAGCTAGGCATGTGGGATAAGCTCCTCTGGCTACAAAAGGGACATTTCCTCCCTGTTTGGAGGCTTTTACAGAGTCTTACTGTCATTTGGATTTTTTGCAGTTGGGAAAGATGAGGTGCTGGGTGTGTTAAGGCCAGGCTGAAGAAGGGCTGGGTAGTGCTCTCCTGGAAAAAGCTCAGCTACCACAAACCTGCTTTTCCCGCTTCCTAGTGGAAGTAGCTGGGTGTGAATAATTAAGGTGAGGAGTGATATAGAACATTGCAGCTACATCTACCACAGACTGGCCTAATCTAGTAACTTTTTCTCAGTCTCTGACTATTTCACAGAGCTCTGGCGGCACAGTGGTTAAGAGCTCAGCTGCTAACCAAAAGGTCAGCAGTTCAAATCCACCAGCTGCTTCTTGGAAACCCTAGGGGCAGTTCTACTCTGTCCTATATGGTCGCTATGACTTGGAATCAACTTGATGGCAATGGGTTTTTTCCTGACCATTTTACCTCCTTTTTTTTTTTTGGAAAGGTAATTATACATAATTTAAACTCCAAGACCAAAATGGAAAACACGATGCTAATCTCTGAGTGCAGGCCCCATTCCTCATGAATGCCTGTGTGTGCCAGGCCGTAGTAAGGAGGTGCATGTCTGGTTTGCTGCCCTTAAATCAAGCCACTGAATGGCTGAAGAATTAGGCTAGCTTTCAAACATTAAAAGTGCAATCCTATCAAAAGTGGCAGTAGGATTTATTTTTTCAGAATGCTTAAGCCTTGGTTTAGGGTCTCTCAGGGACCTAGTGGGATCTACTGTTACCATGATCGAGACAAATCTGGGTAAAGTTCAGGTGCCCAGCTTCTAGAGACCAGGAAGCAAAAAAAAGGCATAGGAACTTTACATTTTTCGGTCATTTGGTTGAGTAGGTGATGAAGGATTTGCTCTTGAAGTTAGGCTGCCTCTGTCTGTATTTGGATAGCTCAAAGTTAAAAAGAACCCACAGCAGGTAAATTGGGAAGGCAGGTATTGGATCTGGGCTGGTCTCTTTCCTTTCCTTGCCCAGCCAGGCCATCCATCTGGATGGGAGCCCACATAATGTGAGCTGATAAAGGGTGTAGAAAATAGAGTGCTCTGAAGTGCCAAGAAGGACCAAACTTTCAATAAATATGTGACTGTAGTGGAGAATTGAAGAAAGTGTCAGAGGGTTGGATGAATGGTTTTATGTGGTTTTAACTAGATAACTTTTCTTGTTTGGGATCTGTCTTAGTCATCTAGTGCTGCTATAACAGAAATACTACAAGTGGATGGCTTTAACAAAGAGAAATTTATTTTCTCACCATCTAGTAGGCTACTGGTTCAAATTCAGGGCATCAGCTTCGGGGGAAGCCTTTCTCTCTCTGTCGGCTCTGGAGGAAGGTCTTCACTGTCATCAATCTTCCCCCGGACTAGGAGCTTCTCTGTGCAGGAACCTCGGGAAGCTCTGCTCCTGGCACTGCTTTCTGGTGGTATGAGGTCCCCAATTCTCTGCTTGCTTCCTTTTCATCTCTTGTAAGATAAAAGGTGGTGCAGGCCACACCCTAGGGAAACTCCCTTTACATTGGATCAGGGATGTGACCTTAGTGAGGGTGTTATACAATCCCACTCTAATCCTCTTTAACATAGAATTACAATCACAAAATGGAGGACAACCACAGAATACCGGGAATCATGGCCCAGCCAAATTGATCCACACATTTTTTGGGAGACATAATCCAATTCATGACAGGATCCTTTATGGAACGTTGAGCAACTGCCTGCAAGACTTTCCACTCATCTCCCTTGGTGTTCTTTGTCAGGTCCTGATGGATAGGTACCAGCTTTCCTTTCTCTCTTGGGGACTTAAGTCTGTCTTCTCCTTGCCCTCCCCTTGCTTAAGATTGGGGAGTAAGATGGTGTCCCCAGCTTTTTTTCCTGTCCACCCCACCAAACTAGATTATGTCCCTGTTATATGTTCCCATAGCCCCCTCGACAGTAGTTCCCCCTTCAGAATAATCATTTCCCTTGTAATTATTGTGTCTGTCACCTGCCTGACTACAAACTTGCTGAAGATAGCAATTGGTTGTCTCATACTTTGCTGCCAGCATCTTGCATAGTGTGTGGTACACATTATATTCTCAAATATTTGTGGCTGGAATAAATGAATAAACTAAACGAAGTCTTTCATTTTAGGGTTTTTTTTTGCTAACTGCCATGGGAATATAATAAAAATAGGGAAGGGAAAAAATTCCAGAATTAGGGGACTAGTGTCTAGTCTTAGCTACCTCTGAGCTAAGAACCAGCGTTAGCCTGGGAGCCCCTCCAAGCTGGCCCTCCTTCCAGGCTCCACAGCCTGAAGATACCATCGAGGTAAAGCCACAGGTGCATACTTTTCAAATGGGCATTTTGCACGGGTAAAGCCTCAGCCTAGGTGTGCACACTTCCTAAGCTTCTGCCCTGTCCATGTATAAATCAAATTAGGCCATCTCCTCAAGAAATTCTTTCCCTTGGTAGTGAGAGATCCCTGGTAGTTAAAGACAGGTAACAACATAAATGAAAAGACACACTTTGTTTTTGTTCTTAACGCCCTGATTGAAAACCTCTGCATCCTTGCTTCTCCTTTCTCATGTGAAGTAGCAGACTGAGTTCCTAGAATTTAAGCTCCGTGAGGGTGGGGTTTTCGTCTGTTTTATGCACTGCAGTACCTTCAGCGCCTAGAACATATGCAGAGGGAATGCTCACACCCTCCCTAGAGATTACGACCTTGGCCAGGACTGCACTTGTCCACATTTCTTCTCCTTGGAACCCAGCCTCTCAAATTTAGGACTTATGCAGGTCAAAGTCAAATAAACAAACAACAAGCTTTGCAGCAGTTCCCCAATTGGGGATTCTTATGCAGAACTACAACCTACAACCTTCTGGGTAAAATAATATTCTGCAAAACATGCCTATTGTTTTGAGATGTTTCGTTTGGGAGGAAAAGTGTATTTCCCTAGATCCAAATGAAAGGGGCTTATTAAGCACTGGCTTCCCAGTCAAGTGGGACACCAGACTTAACACACATGTAGGGCATAGCGCGAGGAGCCCTGGTGGCGCAGTCGTTAAAGTGCTTGGCTGCTAACCCAAAAGGTCGGCAGGAACCGCCAGCCGCTCTGCGGAGAAGGACATGGCAGCCAGCTTCCCTAAAGACTTGCAGGTTCGACAACCCTACGGGGCCGTACTCCTCTGTCCTATGGGGTCGCAGTGAGTCAGGATCGACCGAGGCGGTGGCTTCAGGGAACCACCCCGCACCCTTCTTCGCCAGGCTCCGCCTTCTTTCTTCCCCGTCTGTCCCTCCCGTTCCTCCGCAGACGGGCGGGGCCAGGTTCTGTCTGGCCGGAAAGGGCCAGGCCCAGGCCGCCCACACTTCCGGCACACTGCGGGGCGGCCTCGAGAGCGGCTCTAAAGTGAGGCGCGCAGCCGGCTAGATGACGTCATGGTGGGGCGGGGAGAAGAGGGAGAAGGACCCTGAGAGGCCAGGCATGCGCACCAGCCCATCTTCGCTGGTCCGGAGCAAAACGGGCGGCGGGGTCGTTTCCGCGCGGGCGGGATTCCCGGCGCTGCGGCGGGGCGGAAGAGCGGGCGGGAAAACGGAAGGAGTTCCTGAGCCCGCCAACCTCCTGCCAAGTGGAAGAAGAGTGTATGTGAGAGAGACTCCTTTACCAAATCACGACGCTGTGCTAATGAAGGAAGGGTGTGGGGATTGGAGTGAGCCTGTAGTCAGAGGGTCCTCGGGTGTCGGCCAGAGGGCGAAGGTGGGATCAGTAGAAGTTAAAATACAACCCTAAAACACTTACAGAAGGTCAGGGTGCTATTTTATGGGTGAGGGAACTGAGAAAGAGAAAAAGCAAGTCTTCTAACCTGGCCCCTTGGCACGGCCTGACTTGCTTGGAGGAGACGAAGAAAGTGAATTATAACGATCTGTATAGTCTGAAGTGTTACTATTAGACCTCCTGAGAAAGGAGCAACACCTAGGAAGTATGAACTAGCAAGTAAGGGGTTGGAAGGACCTCCCTGTCCTAAAATAATCTTTCAAGGCCTCCTGCAATTCTAACAGATAGTATTTTACTTTTATATCTTAAAGTGAGATGGTTACTAGTCCACATTGCAGTATACATTAGTTTCATCAGATGGCTATTCTTACACCTATTCTTAGAGGGAAGAGAAAGGGAAGTTGGCACCGGAAAGAGTGCATTTGGAACTTAGAACTCTGTCTTAGAAGGGTGGTTCTTGGTCAAATGCTCAGAATTTTGCCAGAAACCGCCCTGCCTATTCTTTGCCCCTCCTCCTCTCTCTTCCTTGCTCCCAAACTCTTTATGAATCAGAACATAATTTACAACAGGTAAGATTTAGAATAGAAGCCTGAGAACATAAATCCTGCCATAAGGCCAGAGAGAGACAAGAATTTGGGGGACAAAGTCATAAAAATCAGGCAGCATTGGTGAAACCTTCTTGCTTGGGCTGGGTTAACATTCCAGAGCAGAGGGAGGGACGAAATGACCTTTGGAAAAATCTCTAAGACTCATGGGAAGACTCTTGGCAGATTGCCTGTGTGTCATTGGTCTGTTAATAATCCTCTGCTAATGCTGTGTTTCTAGGCCCTTCTGCAAGTGCGTGGAGCTGAGAGATGCAGCCCAGGCGAGGGAACCATGAATAGTTCCCAGATCCCATGTCAACGCCAAACCCTCAGCTGCTGGTGGCAGCTGCTCAGCAGACCTTGGGTGTGGGAAAGAGACGGGGCCCACCCCAAGCCACCTGCCTTCACCTAGCCGGAGAGGTGCTGGCTGTGGCTCGAGGACTGAAACCAGCTCTGCTCTATGATTGTAATGGTGCAGACGCCTCGAAGATCCAGAGCTATCTGGAGGAGCTGCAGAGGCTGGGCTTTCTGACCCTGGGACTTCACATCCTTGAGATTGGGGAAAACAGCCTGATTGTCAGTCCTGAGCATGTATGCCGGCACTTGGGGGAGGTACTGCTTGGTACCATAGCCTTTGTGGATGTTTCTGGCTCCCAGTCTCACCCTTCTATCTGCTCCCTGGACCAGCTTCAGGACTTGAAGGGCCTTGTGACTGAGATCATCGTGCATTTGCAGGGGTTGCAGACGACCCTATCCCTGGCAGTCTCCCGCAGCAGGCTCCATTCCACAGGCTGGAATTTCTGTACTGTGTTTGGGATCCTCCTGGGCTATCCTGTGCCCTACACCTTTCACCTGAACCAGGGAGGTGACAACTGTTTAGCCCTGACTCCACTACGGGTGTTCACTGCCCGAATCTCATGGCTGCTGGGTCAACCCCCAGTCCTGCTCTATTCCTTTAGTGTCCCAGAGAGCTTGTTCCCAGCCCTGAAGGACATTCTCAGCAACTGGGAGAAGGACCTCAGAACCCGATGTAGGACTCAGAATGACTTTGCTGATCTCAGTATCTCCTCTGAGATAGTCACACTGCTGGCTGTGGCCCTCTGATTATAACTCTCCTCCTGTGTAGAAGATGCTCAGTGAATGATTATCTTCTGGGCAGGGATCATCTCAAATACCAGTTTCAGTCCATTGGCAGTGGCTGTCATAAGAACATTAGGGAAGGGTTTTGAGGTTACATCTGGGCTTAAGAGAAAAGAATCATGTGCTCAGTTGGCCACATCTGCCACGGGCATAGAAATCGGTAATGGTGGTGGTAGCATCGGTACTACGTATTTACCATTTCTTTATTAGGGAATCCTCTTGACTTAGCTGTCTATTTGTTTATTGGGTAGGAGATAAAAGGAAAGAGATGGTAGGAAAGAGGAAGGGTGAGTGGAGAACAAGTAGTATACCCTTATATGGTAGCTTTGTAAATATACTTGTTTATGTGGGTCGAGCCTGCTGAGCAAATAGAAGGACTAGACTCCTGCTAACAAAAGGTCAGCAGTTCGAATCCACCAGCTGCTCCTTGGGAGCCCTATGGGGCAATTCTACTCTGCCCTGTATGGTCACTCTGAGTTGAAATCACCTTGACGGCAGCAGGTTTGGTTTTGGACTCCACCTGAATTGGACTAGGAAGAGTAGACCAGGATGCTTAAGTGTCTGTTATACTTGTGATATGATGTGTCATTGATTAATAAACCAGGAGTTCTGAGGAAAAGAGACTGGTCAGGTGAAGTTTGTTTATTTTACAGTAAGTTCAGAAAATAGTAACAAAATCAGAAATTTCAACTTCATTTTGGGGGAGAAACCCAAACTGTAAAATATCCAAACCTTCTGAGTTTTCCATTGAGTTGCTTGCTTCTGATTGTTACCCAAGGCAGCTATCACAAGCCAGTTACATCATCAGGCTGTCCTTGTTGGCCAAGAACACTGCCAGTGCTATAGCAGTCACCACTATCAGCATCGGGAGCCATTGGCCACATTGCCTCTGTGTGGAGGGAGGGAGACACAGGAGAAAGAGACCATGAATTGGTTAGAGAGGACAGTGGCAAAAATAATCTTCCTTCTTCCCATTCTAGCCCAGTGGGACACCTTGGGTTGATGCAGGAAAAAAGATTTTTACTTCACTTTCTCTCTCTCTCACCTGTCTTGGGCTAAAACTACTTTATTTGTGGGCACTGGCTCAGGAAATAGATTCAGCAGGGAGCAGATACTAAAATGTTGCTGTGAATGAACAAGGGTGGAAAATAGAAAAATTATATTCTGTGTTCAAGATAGAATTGTTGAAGATTTGTTAGCATAAAACTTCCCTGATATGATGAAAGATGAGAAGATATCTATGCAAGAGGCTCATCGATCCCAAAAGAAAGTCATCAAGACGTATTATCATCAAACTTGCCAAAACCAAAGATAAAGAATTTTAAGAGCGGCTAGGGATAAAAAGTCATCTACAAAGGAGAGTCAATAAGACTAAGCTTAGACTACTCAGCAGAAGCCATGAAGGCACGAAGACAATGGGATGACATATATAAAGCCTTGAAGGAAAAAAAATGCTAATCAAGAATTATATATCAAGCAGAACTGCCTCTCAAATATGATGGTGAAATTAAGACATTTCCAGATAAACAGAAGTTTAGGGAATTTGCAAAAACCAAACCAGAATTACAAGAAATACTATAGGGAGTCCTCTGGTTAGAAAATCAATAACATCAGATGACAACCCAAGACTAGAACACAACAGAGCAACCAGGTCTCAACCCAGATGGGGAAGACACAAAAAGCTAAAACGCTGAAAGTAGGGAAACAGAAACATCAATATGTAAAAGATGACAACGTTAAAACAAAAGAGAGGGGCTAAAAAATGTCATAGATCTTTCATATGGAGAGGAAGACAAGGCGATATAAAGAAATAAAAGAGTGGTTTGAACTTAGAAAAATAGAGGTAAATGTTAAGGTAACCACAAAGGAAACTAACAGTCCTACACATCAGAATAAAAAACAAGAAAAACATAAAAGCAAATACAAAATCAACAACAATGAAAAAGATGAAAAGAAAATACATAAAGAAAAATGACTCAGCACAGAAAATTAAGTGGAACAAAGAAACTCAACAGAACACACAAAAGATATCAACATGACGGCACTAAACTCAGACCTATCAATAATTACGCTGAATGTAAATGGACTAAATGCACCAATAAAGAGAGAGTGGCAGAATGGACAAAAGTATATTCTCTTTTCATATTTTCTCAGTGCCTTGCTCTTCTGTCCTTTCCATCATGCTCATAACAGGCTAAAAGAACACCATTCTGTACTTTAGCTAAGTCTTTTCCTCTGGGCTCAAGAGTTCCATGAAAATTGGGCTTAGATGCGTAGCCAGTATTTCTTTTCATGGTTGCTGTGGTTGACACTATGGTTGGTAGTATAACCAGGCTGAATGGGACAAGATGGTCAGATGTTGGCATGGGTCAATAAATTTGATCTGCAGGACTTGGCTAAAGGAGGAATCATCCCATCATCATCTTGGACTATATGAGAGGATAGATCCTCTTACTCTGGGAGGTGGCTGCTGGCTCCGGTTCATCTCTTCCCGACAGTGCTGCAGCTTCCGCAGGCAGGAGAGGTACTCGTCACTGAGGTTGTCCAACTCTGAATGCAGTTCTCTGCACTGAGAGGGAGAATATCACCAAAGTCACCACCACCAATTCTGTCTGGGACAGAGCCCAGGTAGGGGAGACAGCCCTGTGTAAGTAACCCCTTCATTCATTTGGAATTTTTATCACCCGTCCTCCCTTCCTAGCCTTTCTCAGAGATTTTCAGTTTGTCAGAAATATGTTCATTTAAATGATTAATTATAATGCTGCTATACATGTAAGCGATTTTATGTGACAGTGCATGTGCAAGTGCTTTGTAATGGGGACACCAAAAACTGAAGTTCTTACAGCACGAAAGGCCTGTAAGTGATCATAGTACCAGTCTCTTTCCCAGGAGCTACTTGCATGTATATCTGTATGTTTGTGATTATGTATGTGGGAAGAGTTTTATTATTTTAAAGACACTGTATAAAGTTTGAAGATATCCACTCAGTGTGGGACAAAGGTGGAAGAGTTAATATATTTATTGAATGTGTTTGAGTTTAGATTGACTTTCCAAAAGGAGACTGTGTATTTGATAAACCTGTCTTGAATAGGGGTTGTTATAAATAATACAGGGGAAAAGGTTGACAAGACAACCCCAAAGCAAAGACATTTTATACATACAAATGAATACCTGTGGGCATCCAATCACCATTTAAACCTGAACTGTGAAATCCCTGCTCTCTGGCTGTCTCCCACGGAGTAGGTACTGAACTGTCACTGGATTTTCCTGCCACTTATACATGAGCCCCTCACTACCCGAAGTCGCTGTCTCACCTCCTTTTCCTTGGCTTGGAGCTGCAAAGTCTTCTTTTGCAGCTGGTCTCTGAGATCCCAGTCTTTGTCCTCCCTTGTACCCTCAGGCTCCGCTTCATTATAGAAGGGCTTTGGACTCCACACAGGAAAAGCCTCATCTAAAAAAGCAGCCAGAATCTCAGTGACAGTGAAGCCTGTGCCCCTGTGGAAGGGCCCTGTACTGAGGGAGGACCCCTAGGAGGTGGGGGAGGGGAGAGAGGGAGCCAGGGAGGGCCTGGGGAGACTGCATGGAATGTAAAGGGAAACTTTTAAAGAACTCTCTTTGGCACCTAGCTCAGCCTGGATAGAGAGCTGGAATTCGAGTCCCTTGAGGGCAAGGCTGCCATCTTTTCTTTGTGTCCCTATTGCTGTTCAATGACAGATACTTTTAGGGAATGTTTATTCAGTGCATCTCTTTGGTTATATGTCACATACTCTCTAGTTAGGTAAGTTTGCTGGATGCCTCATTATAACCTCTTTTTCCTTCTGTCCTCATTTCAAAGTCATGAGACTGGCAGGTCATGTCCTAAAGTTCGTCTTCATGTGGCTAAAGATGTTTTTTCAGTCACCTTGCAGTCTTAGTGTGGTGAAAAGACACTGGGCTAGGCTAGGGGTCAGAAGTTCTGGATTGTTGCTTTAGCTCTATCCTGAATTTGTATGATGGTAGACCTGCATTTTCTTATCGATATGATGTGGGCATAATAATTTCTGCCTTATCTATTATATGACACCTGGAAATTGTCAGGAAGAAACATGCCAGCAAAAGGCCATATGTAGGAGACAGTTGAGGAGCTATTGCGCCCCCACCCCATGTGCATAATGGATTCTTCTTAGGAAGCTAAGGCAGCAGACTCTTTAGGGCCAAGACTGAGGTGTCTGTTGGGTCTGGGGAGTTGGATGTAATTTGGAAAGTCAAGTGTGTAAAAATTGACATGAAATCCTGGGTTCAGAATCAATTTATTGAAATGTTCAACACAGACATATGTTTTCAGAGAGAGTAGAAGTTTTTTGTTTTTTTTTTTCTTAAACAGTTTATATACCTCTCAGGAGAGAAAGCTAGCTAAAGTATTTTAAGTCCTTAAATGATTAGTCCTTAGAAAACTACCCTACATTCCTGAGCTAATAGACTCCCAGAACTGATGGGACTCCAGGAGATCCTGTTGTCTACCCGCCCTGCCTCTGGGTGGCCGAGGAAAGAGCACCATCTTAGAATGTGTGGTCATAAATTTGCTGACCTTTCTTTGTTAAGAATTTCTCCTGTTCTTGCAGCTGTAAGGACTGATGCTGAAGCAAACCTGTTGGAAAACATAAGAAACTTGTCTGTGCTAGTATATTTACTGCAAAGAATGTCTTTTCATAACTTTACTTAGAACCTTTATTATTAAAGGTGTTCCCATTCTTATATCTTCCTACCATGTCTTACCATCAAGTCTGCTTAAATGTTACCTTAGAAGAGAGATTTTCCCAGATGATTCTGTATAGAGTCAATAGCAACTATTCTTTCTTTAACCTCCTTTAGTTTTTCTCCATAGCAGTTATTACAACCTGATATTTATTTGTTCATAGAAATGCTACACTCTACTGTAGAGCTTACTTAGAATGTAAGCTTCATAAGGGAAGGAACTGTGTTTTGTTCATTACTATATCCTTAGTGCTTATATCTAGAGCATCTGGCATTTAGTAGGGGCTCAGTAAATAGGTATTGAATGAATAGAAGTGTAGTTTTGAAGTGACTTCCTGTCCATTCAGCTCCTGCTCTGTAGGCGCACCTCTTCTACAGAATGGTGTTCATTTTTCCTTTCCATTGTGGTTAGGTTGTAGAAAACAAAAACAAAAACAAAAACAAACACACAAGAAAAAAGAATATAGGCTGTTACATAACTTGTGAAGAACTATGTAAATGATCTCATTTCACAAGAAGATGGTCTGAAAATCCATAGAGGTTGAGGATATGCCAAAGATGGGGCCCCTAATCCCTCCCTTGGATCCCTTCCGTGGGGCAGGAGCCCCAGGAACACCAAGAAGCCACCTATGCTGTTTATTTACAGAGTCTGGAAAGGGAACTCACTTTGCATCTCCTGTACTTTGGCCACCAGGGTGAGTTTCTCCTCCTCTGACCTCTTTAGTTGATCTGAAAATGAAATAATGCAAACCAAAATAGAAGAATCCAAGACTTAATTTAGTACCTGAGGTGCTGTCTTGTCTGTGTATCAGATGAAAACTGATTTATCTTCTGTTTGTCTCACTTCTGTAGAGGGAAACCAGAACCCAGGTATTTTTGAGTTTATGTGCATCAACAATGTTGGGTTGAATTCAGGGTTGTATTTACAGACTATCTTGTCCTCTCTTGTAGCCGACACAGAGGCAGTGACTAGGAGACCTCCACCCCATTATGCCTTGTGCTTCACCTGACCTTTCCCTTTCACATTAGGAATGTGGCTTTGACACATGACTAATGTGGGAACAGCTGTGATCTGGCCCAGAAGAGTTGGCTGGAAAGTAAGAGCTGATTCTACAGGATCCTCTAGTGCTGTGAAATTAATTTCAAACTACGATGATTAAAACACTTCTGTCTTTCCTTTAAGGTAAAATGAAGTCACAGAGCCAGCCAAGCAAACCAATGAAAGGCCTTGCTTTCCACCCAGATTCTTTTTTCTGAGCTTACGTACTCCTGAGGCCTCCAAGGAGGATACCTTGTAGGTCCTGGGTATTCGAGCTGCACAGGTCTCTGTCCCCCTGCAGACATTCAATCTTGGCCTGCAGCTCTTGGTGCTCATTCTCCAAAAGTCGCAGGGCCTGGTTCATCTGTACATCTCTGCTGTCTGCTCCCTGTAAGGAGGGGGAGCCCACACAAAAGCAAGTCAGGGTGGGGGGTGAAGGTTGGGTGTAGTCCCGTAGAAGCGGGTAAAAATCATAGAACTTTAGAGTTAGAAGTAGTATTAGGGAAATGGAAAAATACTGAAGCTTTTGGATTGTTTTTATATTCTCTTCTTTGTTCTGCTCTGTTCTTCAGTGCCTTAGGCTTTCAATAGTCACAGAGGACACATCTCCTGACACCTTGGTAAATCCCCAAATTAAAGAGTATTGCATCATCATTTTTCTAGATGTCTTCACTTTCTCTTTACCTCTGTTACTGACACTATCAATTTTTTTTTTTTTTGGTATGGCCATTTTTCACAAAGAATTGAAATAAAAAAAAAAAAAACTTCATAAGAGTAGCTTTGTAGGTGATGGGAAGAAGAGATCAACAAAGTTAGGCTGGGATGTGGATGCAGAGTGACCAGCTAGGTTCACTCGTTTGTTAAGGCTCGTTCCCCCTGTCTCTATCCAGATCCTTGCTTCAGTAACATAAAGAGCAACTTTTAAGGTAGATCAAAATTCCAAACTCTGTAAGTAAAACCTATGAAAAATAATTGCTAATATTTATTGAGTGCTTATATGTGCTAGGGCCCTGGTGGCGCCGTGGTTAAGCATTTGGCTGCTAACTAAAAGGTCGGAAGTTCGAATCCACCAGCTGCTCCTTGGAAACCCTATGGGGCAGTTCTGCTCTGTCCTGTAGGGTGACTATGAGTTGGAATTGACGTGACAGCAATGGATTTTGGTTTTTATATGTGCTAGGCATTCTGCTAACTGCTTTACATGGATTACCTCATTTAATCCTCACAACAGTCTTATTATATAGGTACTATTATCCTCATCTTAGAGATGAGGAAACAGGCTTTGGAGGTCAGTTAACTTCCCTAAGGTAGTGCAGATTGGAAAGGTCAAGCCCTCGAGAATACCAGATTGGGAATGTCAGAACCTTTGAGAATGACTGGGGTCTAGTATAATCACTTAGAAATCACATTGGCAGGATTTGTCAGTCAATACTTGCCTATAAATAAGTTAATGACATTTGTTCAGTGCCAGTAGTGGGCAAGCCTGAATTGGAAGCTCTACTGGAATGGTGTGGGCAGAGTGGGTTGGGTATAACATTAGTAGGCTGGTGAACATTCCACCCCAGCCCTCTGCACTTGAATAATGTCATTCTAATGAACACTTAATTCATTTGCATAAGCATTGCAGACATCCTTGCTAAAGACAGCATTAAATCTCAGAGCCAGAGCAATGAGTCTGGTACAAAGTGGGCAGTGAGTGAGGAACTGAAAGCTAGATGTTCTCAGCTGCCTTTGGGGCCCCCAACTCATCTGCAGTTTCATTACTTGCCAGAGCCTGCCTCCTTTCCCCACCCCAAGTTCCTGGTACCTGCAGTTTGGACTGAAGCACATGGAGCTGGCTCTCCAGCTCTCTATGCTGGGTCCCCAGGGTCCTCCAGTCCTCCTTCAGAGTCTCGTACTGGGTCCTCCACTCTTCACACTTCTGCTCTGCCAGGGCCAGGGACCGCTGAGGGAGATCAGAGAGGAGAGGAGGTGCCTTGGGGATTCCAGGGAAATGTGTAGCTGGCTCCATTGCTCCCCAGAGCTGCCCCCCGGGGTCCTCAGCCCCAAGGACTCTGCAGAATCCCCATACCTGTGTGCTCTGCAGTTGCTGCTCTGCACTCATTTTCTCCTCCAGCACTTTCTGCAGTGACTCTTTGGCCTTCTGCTCATAGCTGTTTTTCTGGTCTTCCATCTCCAGTAGCACCTTTTTCATCCCCCAAGGGGAGTATTTCTGTAAATTTGATGCAGTTCAATAAATACACATGGAGATTTTGTGTGCCAAACACTGAGCTGGGATACAGAAATGAAAAGAATGGTCCCTGCCCCTAGGGCACAGGTGCCAGTAATCAGGTGGAACTTTAGGCTCAGGCTAGAGCTGGGCAGGGCTCTATGTGAAGGGAGTGAGGGAGGCAAACAGTGCCCTAGGCATGCTGGACATTGTCCCCTAGTCCTTCCAACATTCCAAACAGAAATCATCTTTCTACACCTGCTCCTTTAACTTGGGCTTCCTATTCCGGTGACTGACAATTACTCATCCAGTCTCTCAAGTTTAAACCAGACAGTCATCTTTGATTTCCTTTTCCCTTTCTCCTAGTAATTGGTTGGTCACCTACACTTGTCAAGTCAACTTCCTTAACAACTCATAGCTGTCTCATCTCTGTCCCTGTTGCTACTTCTTTAGTTCAGGCTCTAATAATACCGATTATATGGATTAATATAATAGTCTGACCACCTCCAAGCCTTCCTTCCAACTTGTCCATTCTGTAGCTAGAGAGTTCTTTCTAAAATGTAAATCTGATCGTGTCATTCCCTGTTTAAGTCTTTCAGTGGATTCTCAGTGTCCTAAGGATTAAGTCCAAACTCCTTGGCATGGCTCTTACTTACAAGCCCAGACTTTGTTCCATGCTTCCATTCAAGGTGAGCTGATTGTAGCTCTCCTAAGCACCATGCTTTTTGGCCTCTGCCTTTGCCCATGCTTCTTCTGCATAGAGCATCCTTACTATCCTTTTTACCTGGTTAGCTCCTATTCATGCTCAAGATTCAGCCTGTGTCCATCAATTCTGATAAATCTTGACTAACAACCCCTTATTCCCCAACTACTTATGGATTAGGTAGCTATCTTAGTCATCTAGTGCTGCTATAACAGAAATACCAGAAGTGGATGGCTTTAACAAAGAGAAATTTATTCTCTCCCAGTCTGGGAGGCTAGAAGTCCGAATTCAGGGTGCAGCTCCAGGAGAAGGCTTTCTCTCTCTGTCAGCTCTTGGGGGGAAGGTCCTTGTCATTAGTATTCCCCAGTCGAGGAGCTTCTCAGCTCAGGGACCCTCAGGTCCAAAGGACGCACTATTCTTCTGGCTCTTGTTTCTTGGTGGTATTAGGTCCCCCGTCTCTCTGCTCCCTTCTCTCTTTTATATCTCAAAAGAGATTGACTTAAGACACAACCTAATTTTGTAGACTTTGAGTCCTGCCTCGTTAACATAACTGCCTCTAATCCTACCTCATTAACGTAGAGATAGGATTTACCACACAGGAAAATCACATCAAATGACAAGATGGTGGAAAATCACACAATACTGGAAATCATGGACTAGCCAAGTTGACACACATTTTGGGGGGACACAATTCAATTCATGATAGTAGCCTTCCTCGGTGTTTGAATAGTATCCTTTTTATACTTCTATTTTTCCAACTTTGTTAGCTCATCTGTTGCCCTTATTATTGTTAGTTGCTATCAAGTTGATTCCAACTCATGGCGACCCCGTGCGTTAAAAGAGTACAACTGTTCCATAGGGATTTCTTGGATGTAATATTAACAGAAACAGATCACCAGGCCTTTTCTTAAGGGGTAGTGCTGGGTGGATTCAAACCGCCAACCTTTAGGTTACAGTCGAGTGTAAACTGTGCCACTTAGGGACCTTACTCTTACACCTAGGACCTAGTATCTCTTTGTTGTTATTGTCCTTACGTGCTGTTGAGTTGCTTCTGATTCATAGAGACCCTATATGACAGAGTAGAACTGCCCCAATAGGGCTTCCTAGGCTGTAATCTCTACAGGAGCCGACTGCCAGGTCTTTTCGCCCGAAGAGCTGCTGGTGGGTTCAAACCACCGACCTTTCAGTTAGCAGCTGAGCACTTAACCATTGTACCACCAGGGTTCCTTACTGAATTGTAAAGTCTTTCAAGGCAGGGAGCAACTGTTTTATCTTTGTAGATTCAGGGCTTTGAGAAATCCCCAGTAACTTAATACATTTGCATTTTTTTTTTTTTTTTTTATTCTTCCTGGCTTGTAGATCAAGAAAGACACAAGAGCAGCTTTGCAGTCACTGGGGGGGGGGGGGGTCTTGCCCGTCCCTCTTCCCCATGCATTTCATCTTTATGCCCTGTGATTTTGGGGTAGCCAGACAGCTTTATTGTCAATTTTGGTTTACCCACTGGGTAAGCAGTAGTCCAGTTAATCCAGATTTAGAGATCAGCATGAAATAATTTCCATGTAGCTTTGGAATCGTCTGAAAATTTGAATTTTAATGTGAATGAGTCTTACGTTCTCAGAAGTTTCATTAGAAACCAGATCCAGGAGTTATTGATTGAGTTTACACATGAGGATGTCCTAGTTATTGGACTTAACCATGCTGGTCATTTCCAGCTTTATCCCCCATTGAAAACGAATAGACTGGCATTTTGGATTATATGTTGGTTTCTTATGAGCCTGGATGGCATTACTTAGTTCACAAGAGCCTGACAAATCAGGTCATACTGAAAAAAATAAAAGTTGTGGTCCAGCAAGCCTATGGACTTTATAAACTCTGTACCCCTGCAAAATCCCAACTGCGTGGCCATGTCTATGTTATCTAACTCCAGATGGGAGCAGTCTGCCTGCTCCATACCATTCTCTTATTTGACTTCTTTCCACCTGTCAGGAATCCATCACTTCTGAAGTGTGAAAACCGATTTCTTCCTTTCTATCCCTTGTAATCCAAGATCAGGTCAATCAAGGGATTACTGAGGCTGGATAAAAATGTCACAGAAATGTCGAGAATCACAGTCTTTTTACTTTCTCCCAGGGGTAGCTACTAGATAAAAGTTGTCACTGGAATGAAAATAATTTTGCAAGACTTCATTATAGCATCTAACTCATCTGTTCAAAGATTGGGACCTGTGAAGTTCTTTCTGGGTGGTGTGAATCTTTACCAAGGAACTCAACCTGCAGTTCCAGGTATTCTCAAGGTTCTGCTGGAGCTGATACTGTTGGTGGTGGGATTCCTTCCCAAAGTGCAGAGGGAAGGACCCTGAGAGAAAGAGAGAGGAGGATGGAGATAGTGATATGGTGAATTGGGGATCAAAGTGAAAATGGCAGAGCCAGAACTGGGTGAGTAGGAATGGGTGTGTTAATCTCTCTATCTGATGACATTTCTAGAAAGTAAGACTGAGATTCCAGCATTATTCTCCTTTAATTCTAGGATCCTGGACTGGAGGTGTCTCAGAATGCTTACCTGGGTACAGGTGTACAGCTGGTTTTCTAAGGATCTCAGTTTGCCCTTCAACTTGTCTTCATTGAGCTGCCCCTGGAGTAGATGGGATGAGTTAATGAGTTTGCGCTGAAGTCTGCAAAGAGTTTTGTTCTGTATTCCCAGCCTATTGCCTTGCACATAGTAGGTGCTCAAACAATGTTTTTGGAACTGAATTCTTCCCAGAGGTAGGGAGGAGGAAAAATGACAGAGGATGTTTGCATGTTTTCCATTCTCTGCAATAGGAAAAGGGAAAATCAGACTGGCCCCCAAAGTCCTCTTTGTACCTTGAAGTTCTCTATCAGATGACTCAGGATATTGTAGCAGGAGCCCACTGGAAGGAAAGCTTCTAAATGGTCCTGTCCCTCCCTGTTTCCCTCTCTCTGCTGTCTTCTAGGCACTTCTGTACTCCCCACTGCCTTTCCCTCTGGGTCTGTGAGATCATGGACCTTTCCCTCTAACCAAAAACTGAACTAAACATGTCGTTGAGTCAATTCCGACTCATAGTGACCCTATAGGACAGGGTAGAACTGCCCCACAGGGTTTCCAAGGAGCGACTGGTAGATTCGAACTGCCAACCTTTTGTTTAGCAGTAGTAGCTCTTAACCACTGTACCACCAGGGCTCCTTCCCTCTAAAGTATAGGCTAATAAGGCTAAAGGGGTCTCCTCTCCCAGGACGAATATGCATTCCCTCTTTTAACCCCTCTCTGCCCCAACACACACGCATACTGGACTTAAGATGAACTTTAAGAAAGCAAGAAATGGAGAAGTATTTGCGGGGAGAGTGGGTAAGAGGACTTCCCAGAAAGCCAGGTTTATTCATAAGCTAGGTCTGTCTAATGACATTGTGGATGTTCCAAGAGGGATGCTAGTCCTCAGGGTGGGGGTAGAGAAAGGCAGGAAGAAAGGGTCATTATCTGTTTTTCGAATTTTCAGTATTTCAGCTAAGTAGCTAACCACTTCTTTCCTGCTGCTTTGTTCTTCCCTCCACCTGTGGACTTGTCCCTTTTTCCAGCTCAGAGTTTTATTTAGGCATGTATGTGTATGGGGAGAGGAGGAAGTGTCATCAGTGGCAGCTGGTTTCCCAGAGAAAGGCCATGGGCCTCTTCAGCAGTAACTGGCTTGCATACAGAAACCTTGGTGGCGTCGTGGTTAAGAGCTATGGCTGCTAACCAAAGGGTCAGCAGTTCACATCCACCAGGCGCTCCTAGGAAACTCTGTGGGGCAGTTCTACCCTGTCCTGTAGGGTCTCTGTGAGTTAGAATTGACTCGACAGCACCAGGTTTGGTTTTCTGGTTTGGCTTCTACACTCTTCTCTGGCTTTTTCTAGACGGGGCCCTGTGGGACACTTGTGAGGTATTGAAATCCTTCTCCCCCTCAGGCCTGAGACTCCCTAGTCCTTCTCAGCCCAGCGGCCTGGATGTTTCCAGTCCTCATCGTGTTTCCGTTCTGTAACTGCTTGGGGGCAGAGGAGGGGCACTGTTCTGAGGTCAGTCCCCCCTCAGTGAGTTTCAGGGTGCTTGGGGGAGGCAGGAAGTGGTATCTCACAGCTCCTGTTTTGATCTTGTTTGGCTAATTCTTCTAACCATGGGAGCCAGGGAGCGCCTCCACCCTTTCTGCTTCCTGTGTTACTCAGCTGGGCCTTGCAAAAGCAAAAGGCTTTGCCAAACATAATTTTTTAAAGTGCCTTCTGCTATTAATGTTTTTCCTAATGTCTCGCGTGAGCACTGAGAGTCAGGGGTTTGACATCTGCAGTAACCGCAGGGCTCTGGGGCAAATAGAGATGGACAAAGACTTCCACTGTTCTGAGATTTGCAGCAACTGGTACAATGGCCTGTTAATTTTGAATCCACAGGTTCTGAACCAGTCCCCCTTCTCCCTGGGTTCAGCTCTCCTTCCATGCATTTTTCTTTTCCTGAACTCTTACCGTGCAGAATGCAATTAAACCCACCCAGTTTAAGGCTTACCTTGCTGCATTTTGGGAAGAAAACAGACTAGTCCAAGACAGTACTCTTTAAGTTTCTGCACTCTCCTGCGGTGCCCTCTCTGGGAGTTTTTCTTCCCAGGCCGTAGCGCCTCTCTCCCTATTAGTATGGCTTTAAGCCAGTATTTTGCTTCTTCCAACCGTTTTTGTATTTTAGCCCAACCCAGATTACTTTTCCATTCATGTTGCAAGAGAAGACGATTCAGGATAGCCCCTTCAGTAAAGATGAAGGGCCACCCACGTCTGCAACTTGAGGAAATCTCTTCTCCACAGCTCTGCCTTCCCAGACTCCCCAAGGCAGGCAGGAAAGTTGCAGCCAAGTTGTTGCAAATCGGGCTTGTAGTTTCCTGGTCTGAGCCCTAGTTCTCCCCACACTGAAGCCCAGCATTAGAGTAGGTGGGAAGAAGGGCTTTTACAGGCCCAGCACTGACCTTCTAGGCTAATTGCACCCGGGAGCCCAGGGCTTAGAGAACACAGTAACGCGGAGGGGTAGGGGTGCGGGGAAGGCTATACACACCTGGTGCTGGTCTGAGGGCTTCAGCTCCTGCTTCTGCTTGGTTTTCCCCTGCCTCTGATCTGTTCTCCAGAAACACCACCACCACACTGCAGAAGCACCAACCCACAGCTCATCTATCTGCCCTAGCAGAGGTTGCTTACTGCCTGCAGCCAATCCCCCGCTGTCATCTCGAGATCTCGATTCCACTTTGCAGATCTTAAAATGCAAGCGTGCCCTGCACCCTTTTTTGTATTGCCCAATATTGAGAGTCTGGCTTTCTCTTCTGCCTGCGCTGTTCCTGCTCTGAAGGCTGGACCCAGCTTAGGAGTCTCAGCAGTGCCCCAGGGCCTCTTGTATCCAGAAGGCCCAGAGTCAGCTTGGGGAGTGGAGGCAGCAGAGGGAGCTGATCCTGATCCTCAGGGTTCTAATAGAGAGTTTGTGGTGAGCGGCTCTGCATGTGAGGCTGGAGACGCAAATCATGGAGGCCAGGTGGGAAAAATCAAGGCTGAACTGGGCTGAATCTCAGAGCCCTAGTTCTGGCCACATTCTTCAAATTATTTTTCCCAAATATTGCAGACTGGGGCTGTCCTTCTCATTTAAGTTGAGGCTTTCAGGTAGAGAGTTGAATTGTCTTGCTTTGGGGGAAGCAAGAGCTCTCAACTGAAAAGTCTGAGACTATTTTTCTTAAAAACAGGAAACTGGGGGTTGGTGGGGAGGAGGAAGAAGAGAAGGGTGAGTGAGTATTGGAAGGGGCAGGAAGAAGGGAGGGAGAAAACCACAGCCAGAGGAACTTCTCTTCGCCTCTTGGGGTGTGGTGTGAAACCAGCCCCCTTGGAGTCTACCCTGGAAATATCTCTTAATAATCCTCCCTGTTCCCACCAAGCTGGCTCTAATTTAGGTTCTGATTCAGGTTTCTTTCCTCAGATATTACAAGAAGTTCCACTGCCTGTACACCCAACTAGAGCCAGGGTTTTCACTGTTGCCAGAGAACCTCGCAAAACATCCGATCATTTGCTTTCAGTACAATTTCATAGACATTGACTGAGCTCCTTCTAAAGATGGACCAGATACTGCTAGGTGAAGGACTTCAAACCTGAGTAAGGCATGGTTCTCTTGTTACCCTGCTTATTGCCTATAGCAGTGCTTCTCAGATTGGGAGTAGCATCATGCTCATACATCTGTGAGATTATATGTGTATAATGTATAACATATATATGTATAATTCCTTGAAAAAGGGGTTCATACATTGTAGAAGTTTGAGATACTGTGTTCAGCAGAAAAAGTTTAAGTTACATAATTCTAGAGGCTGTCTGAAGCCCTTTCTGGTCTCATCTTTGTTACTTCTCTGACATGAGCTCTTTATTTCAGCCACACTCTGCTGCACCTAATGCTTCATCACACCTAGACCTGTAGTCATTCTGAGTCCTTTACCTTACATGCTTCTCCTTGCTGCTCTTTCTTCCCCATTACCACTCCGACTTCTGTACTGGTAAACTCGTAGCCATCTTTGAGGGCCCAGCTAAAATGGCTTCTTTCCTTTGGACCCTTCCCTATTCCACCCCAGGCAGAATAATTGCTCCCTCCTATTTTTCCCTATAGTACTTTTATTATACTATTTTTATGATGTATTACCTGTCTGTCTCTTCCTAGCTAGATTGTGAACTCTTTAAGAGCAAAGATTCTACTTCTTTTTTCCCCTATAGCACAGGGCCAAACACATAGTTGAAACTTATTAAATGTCTATCAAATAAATGAGTGAAACTGTCTTGATTTGGAGTCCCTGGGTGATACAAACAGTTAACACGCTTGCCTACTAACTGAAAGGTTGGAGGTTTGAGTCCACTCAGAAGTTCTTCAGAAGAAAGGTCTGGTGATCTACTTCTGAAAAAAATCAGCCATTGAAAACTATGGAGCACAGTTCTCTTCTGACACACGTGGTCGCCATGAGTTGGAATCAGCTTGATACTCATTGCTGTAGAGTTGATTCCGACTCATAGCGACCTTGTAGGACAGAGCAGAACTGCCCCATAGGGTTTCCAAGGCTGCAGTCTTTACAAAAAGACTGCCACCTCTTTCTCTTGAGGAGCAGCCGGTGGGTTTGAACCTCTTACCTTTTGGTTATCAGCCAAACGCTTCACCACTGTGCTGTGAGGACTCCTTCTCAACTTGATGGCAACTGTTTTTTTTTTTTGTTGTTGTTGTTTGTCCCAGTTTAGTTCAACACCGGAAACCACCTGGCATACACAGCTGTCTTCCCCGGGCTGCTACTCTACTACTGAAATGACTTCCTTACCAATCAAGGGGCCTGCCATAGACCCTGAGGGGCTGAGCTTAGGATACTGAAATGACTTCCTTTCCAATCAAGGGGCCTGCTATAGACAGTAAACCAGTTACCGTGACTGAGTGCAGTGAGAAGGTGGGCTGAGCTCAGGCAGTCATTTTAAAAACATCACCGCAAACTTCTCAGTTCTTCCACCCTTCCCATTACATCCCTAAGCACAAGCTATCTGTGCGGTAGGATGAGATGTTCATGGAGGCCTGTGAAATTGTGTACTTTCTCTCCCTACAGCTGGTGCTTTCTGCTTTGTGGTTTCCAGCTGCAGGTAGCTTCCTGAGCATACTAGGCCAGGGGTGCTCCAAGTGGGGTCCCAGGGCCCCTGGGAATCCCAAAATCCTTTCAAGAAATCTGCAAGGTCCTGCCTTTTCCAACTACATGTCTGTGTGAAGCCGGATTATGTTCATATACTTCAGTGAGAACAATTTATTGCAGCAGATTGAACGCAGAAGCAAATATGAGAGTCTGCCTTCTTTTAAGCCAGACATTAAAAAGATTTGCAAAAATGTAAAACAATGCCATTCCTGTCACTTTTTTTGGGGGGGGGGGGTTAGAAATATAGTTTTTTAAAATAAAAATATGTAATTTATGTTAACATGCAGTGGGGTTTATTATTACAATTTTAAAATATATGTTTTAATTCCTAATATGATAAATGATTTGGGGTTTTCAATAGTTTTCTTAGGTGTATAAAGGGATCTTGAGTTAAAAAAGTTGGAGAGCCACTGCACTAGACTATCTTATGCCTTTGGGTCTTTGCCTGGGCTGCACCCATGTCTAGAGTACTGTCCCTGCTTCCATGTCTGCTTGGCAAATTCCTATGTAACTATAAATATTTCCCTGGTTCTTCCCTTCTCCAGAGTCATTCATTGCAGTTTGTAATCGATGATGTTTTGAAAACATAGCTTTCCTTTCTCATATCTAATGTATTGTTTAGGCATCTGTCTCCCTTACAAAGCCACCAGCTCTTTAAAAGCAGGAACCTTGTCTAATTCATTTCATTATTTCTAGTGCTAGGCCAGTGTTTGATACAGAAAACATGATCAGTGAGTATTTGTTGAGTGAATGGACTAAAATCAGGAGGTCTGAATTTTAGTCCCATTCCTTCCCCTAACTAACTGTGACTTTGGCAAGTCACTTCTGTGAGACTCAGTTTCCTCCTCTACAAAATAAGAGGATCAGATTAGGTGATCTCTCAGGTCCCTTCCCACTATAACATTCATGTCTGGGCTGAGTAATGGGCACATGCTGGCTTGGAGTTAATATTGGTGTGAATCCCATATATAAATAGTTGACATTTTACCATGTTCAGTAATATTAACTGTTTGGGATCATCCTTCTTCTAACAAATTAAAAAATGGGAATTCTTGCTGTTTTTGCTTCCTGGTCTTCCTTGGGTGTGTGGTAGCATGGTCCTCAGGTGATGATCCTAAATTTAACCGAGCTCTCCTATGTATTACTGTGACCTGCTTGACCTCTAGGTCTCAGCACCATCCCCCCATCGTCTGCCTCTCCTCAGCCCCCTCGGCAGTAGTGAGAAAACTCCTTCTCTTGCTGAGATGCTGTAGAAAAATGATGAGATGGATATACACAGAAGCACATGAGCTTTGTTCAAACAAAGATTTCATCCCCTTACCTTCCAGGAACTGTCAGAGGCCCGAATTAGGTGGGAAAGTAGGTCTTGGAGAATCACCATTTTCTGTTTTAGGACCAGTTCCCGTTGTAGGGCCTCCTAGGGAGCAAAATGCAGGAGGATGAGGTTAACTTGGAGAAGGAAGGTGGAGGTGGATGGATGAGCTGGAGGGTAAATTCACAGGTCACTTACTTTGAGGTACTCAGAAAGCTGGATGATTTCCTGGAAAGAAAATATTTAAAAGACACTAGGTACCCTGAAACCCTGGAACGTGGAACCAGAGCCAGGGTTGGTTGTGTGGGGAAAGATCTTCTGCCTTGGCTTTGGCAGGGTCCCTCTAGGCCCTTATGTCTATGCTTAGTACTCTTTGCCCTCCAGGAAGAAGATACTCCTCCATTTCAGCTTGCATTTATCATGGAATTCTAGAATGTCAGCACTTGGAGGAGCTTAGATACCATCTGATTCAACCCCTTTAAAGTAAGGATTTTCTTACCTTATCCAGAACTGCGACGCCGCAGCTGGGAAGAAAAGAAAGAAAAGAATGACAGCAGACCAAAGAAGCATGTCAGGATGCAGTAGGTTGATCCCTTCTCTGATCTCGTCTGAGACAGTTGGGTAGGGAAGGGCTTTCTCTTTTTCATTAAGGTGGACATGGAAATTCACTGTGTTCCTGCTCCACATCCTGGGTGGGTGTGTTCAATAAAAGCTTAGAAACTGAGTAAGAGAAGAATGGTTAGAGTGTAAAGGAGTTTGAGCCAGGAAGGGACCCATGGAAGGTACTCACTTGGTTTGCTGACTGGCATCATTCTTGATTGTTGTCTGTGCGTCTTCTGCCTTTGTCTGAGTGCCTGAGAGATGGAGGATAAGCTGATTCAGATCCCATTCCTGGGGAAAGTGGGGGCAGTGGGGTAGGGCATGGGCTCTTTGCTGCCAGTGAGCTGAGACTGCCATGGCAGGATTCTCTGCAGACCCCACTGAATGAAGAGGCTCTGCTCTTACCGCGGTGGTGTTTGGGTGGCTTCTTAATGGGAGAGTTGTGTGATGGAAGGTCCCCAGCTTGTGAGGAGAGATGGTCAGCCAGATCCCTCCGGCCACCTGAGGGAGGATGATGCTGGGTTGTAATGATCTCAGAGCTGGTCCCTGCTACCTGTAAAGCAAGCAGGGGATGCTGAAAACAACTGTCCAGTATCTCTTAGAAGATTTTTCAGCCAATTGCTCCAGGATGAACTAGTGATCTTACTTCAGGCTCAAAAAACTAAAGTGTCTCACTCCACTTGTCAGAGCCACAGACCTGTCCCTACTCCTGCCCTCCTTCCTAGTCCTGGCTAGCAGAAATGGTCCTGTGTAGGCCAGGGAAATGGAGCTGGACTCATCTCCAGTTATTCTCTCTTAGAATCCCTGAGCTACCTTGTTTGGTCTCAGCCACTTGTACAGCCAGCATGGTGAGGTGGAAACAGCATTGGTCTTGGAGGGCAATGAGGGGATCTGTGTTCAAATCCTCAATGATCGGCTGCGTGACCTGTTCTAGGTCTCAGTCTCCGGTCTGTGTAATGAGGAGTTTGGAATAGATGATCCCTCAGGTCCTTCCAAGGAGCCCTCGTGGCGCAGTGGTTAAGCACTCAGCTGCTAATCGAAATGTTGGCAGTTTGAACCCACCAGCCACTCCACGGGAGACAGATGTGGCAGTCTGCTTCTGTAAAGATTCACAGCCTTGGAAACGCTATGGGGCAGTGTTACTCTGTCCTATAGAGTTGCTATGTGTCAGAATCGACTTGACTGCAATCAGTTAAGGTCCCTTCCGTATTCTACACATGGGCTTCCTTCTTATTGGTAATAGCAGGAAATTGCTAAGGTTTTGTGTGAAGAGAAGGAAGAGCAGGGAGTTGTAGGGAGAGGTAGAGAAGTTCTTTTCACAATTTAGTCAGTTCTTTTTATATTTGGTTCTTACAAACTCAAAGTTTTGATGTCTGTAAGCATAACACTAAAAGGCTCAGAAATGCCTATGGTATTCAATCATGTGGACTGACTCAATCACGATAAAACTTTAAAAAACTGATAGTCTGGAGGTGGAGTTCTTTAGTTAATTGTATTTTCTGTTCTTTTTTTCCTCAGACATCCCCCTCCACACACACCAAAAAGCACATGGGTGGTTTTTTTCTGAAAATTGGAACCCACGGTGTCCTAGGATCATTTCTTCTGTACCGCGCTTCCTGTTGTGATAACAGATCCACTAGTTAAACCCTCACTGAGGACATACTCTGGAAATGGGTCAATGCCAGGCACTTCTGGGGACAACAGCAGGCCCATCCCTGCTGTCAATGTGCGTACGACGCGAGTGGAAAGACACAGACGGTTTGCTGGCTGAGGTTATCTCGATGTACCCTGCTTTTTTGCCAAGACTGCTCCTTCCCAGGCCAGACTAATGGGCCCTCTAAGAGTTACACACTCCTAGAAGATTTGTAACCTTACAAGACCTACAGAGAACAGAGGTGGCCTGGCTTTCTGGATCCGATAAGGCCTTCACTGAGTAAATTCAGTAGAATTTGAATGGCCCCAGAGAAAGAGAGAAGATAGGTTTGTGCAACAGCTTCTCAGAGGACTGGAGAAGGGAAATGAAGTGTGTGTGTGTTAGGAGAGGGGCCACAATGAAATTGGCCTGGGTACCTGGTCTGTAAGAGCATTCAATAAATACCTGTTGAATTATGGATGAATGAATGGTGTAAGATAGCAGTAGAAAGTAGGTAGAGATTTCCTAAATTTGAACTGATACTAAATATTACCTATGGAGTTGTTTTAAAAAGTATTTTTCTCTCCGGAAAGACAGGTACAAACAAAATAGACACAAAACAACAACGGATTCTGAATGAATAAATGGCTAATGGAAGCTTTGCTTGTATGACTGAGGAAGAGGGACTTATTTTAAGTCACTTTTTAATGACCTTGAGCCCCACCCTTCGTATTCCCCTCCCACACCACAGGGCAGTTTGTCCCTCGACGTGGCCCACCTGCTGTATGGGGGAAGAGCTCCTCTTGGCCCAAGATGAGGGTGCATTGAGGTCACTTGCCTGGCTTCTCCTGGAGGGACCTTGCTCCCTAGCCTGGGAACTCTGTGCCGTGCCTTTCTCCTCCACTTGCAGGTTCCTTCTCCTGAAGAACTGCTGTTGTCGAGCTCTCTTCAGCTGCTGTCTTTGCTGGGCCCTCAGTGTCTTCCCCACCTGACGGCAAGTGGTCACGTTATGGCGGCAGCGGCGGCTCTCACGGGTCTCCTGCCGGCGCTCACACTTGGCTTCGTAGCTCTCAGCCCACTGGGCCAAGCCAAGGGAGGGCCTGGGGTCTGGGCTGATCATGATGACCTCCTGAGCACCTGTTGTGCTGGGCTTCCGGTTCCTGGAATAGCTGCCTGGATCTGCCAAATGGTGAGAGGGAGGAGAAGGGGAGGGGTCAGAAGATGGGCAAAAAAATTACTGTCTCCCTGGACAAGGGGGACAGAAATAGTGCAGCGTTCCATAGACGTGGGCTGAAAACAGAGGAGGTGATGGTGTCACAGTGGGTGTCAGGGCTCCTGGACTCAGTCTCTATGCTAATCCTGCTTTTATCTATCCTGTGTCTCCTACTCTGTGAAGTGGGAAGGATCTCTCTGGCCACTACTTCTTTGACTGAATGTCGCACCACGCCTCCAAATTAGGGGAACATGAGAAATGATAAAAACCATAATGCACTTACATTATGGTGGGGGTGTTCAATGGCCATTCATACTCTGAGGGACTTCTGGATAACCAGTTAAATTGGCTCCTGTCTCACGATCTAGAAGGAAAGTCAGCATCTTTAATGCTCTCGGCCTAAGTTGTTACTAAAATAGGTGAGTGACTCTTCTCAGGGCCTGGAGGGATAATCAGATTCCACCCTCAGGATGTGGCCAGTGTGTGACCAGCACCACTGCTCTTGTCTTGACCCTTAGTGACTAGCTTGCGAGCCTAGTCCCAGGCATGGTTTGGGTCTCCATCATGAAGTACTGAAATCAGTGCATTCACATCCCACTCCCAGGACCAGGCTCTGTCTCTCAGCTCCAGACAGGTCAATGTTGGCTGAGCATTTGCCACATGTCCCATGCTGCCAGGACCCATTTCAGAGCTTCTGGCTCAATAACTCTCCCAACTGAGGGTTCTGGCTTTTTTTTAGGATCACCTCCCTGTCAGAGCTAAGGCTGGTGCCAAGACTACTTTCCTTGGCCCACTAATCTCCCTGGGCCCAGGCACAGAGAGTCCCGTTGAAACTAGTAACCACATGAATTATACCTCAACAAAGGTATAAATAAAAGCAAAACAAAAACAATAACCAGTAACCACAGGTCACTAGGGCCCGAGGCTGAGTGTAGAGGCCACACTCGAGGACCGTTTGCATGGCCTCACCTCTCACCATTCACAGAGCACCTAAACCCTTAGCTCTTCTTCCTTCTCTGTGCCTTCCTCTCTCTTCCCTACTCTCCCCACCTACCTTCTGCACATGTGCTTATTTTGTAGTACACTCTGGTGGCTTTGCTGAGTTGGGGTGTACCTGGATGAGCTGTATCCTGAGCACTGGAAATTCTGTCCTCCCTCTGCTGATCCCTGGAGTCAGACCAGTGACTGATAAAGAAGCCACTGCTTCTCCTCTTCTTCCCGCGACTTCACTGCCCACCACCCTGGGAACCTGAATTCTTGGGCAGGTCAGAGAAGGGAGTCTCAGCTTCACCAGCCACAAGGAATTTTCCAGATGGGCCTTCTTGTTTATTTATAGGCCAAACAGACTGGACAGGTAGCAGACTTTCTGCCCCTTTTTTGGAAATTTGCTGCTCATCCCGGCTGAGTCTGAAATTCTCTGCAGGATTCTTGTTCTCTCTCTGATCATGCTCCTCATTTCCCAGAGTCATGAGTGGGAAATTCACACTGCCTGAGAGGGGTCTCAGGTGGCTGAGCCTTGGATGCTTGAGGGGCACGCTGGTCCCAAGCATAATCGTGAAGTTGTTAATGTTTGTCCTCTATGTGTCATCCCTGAGGGTCTCCCCTTTCTTCAGACTGTTCACCCCTACTCTGGGATCTCTTGACTTGCCACCCACCACTTCTTTATTTAAAAACTTAGTAAAATACCTGAGCGGCTCATCCGTACTAAAGTATGGAGGAGACTCAGGAGTATTTGCATGTCAGCTCCCTGTGCAGAATTAGACTAGTGGCATCCCTAAGCAATAGCACCGTAACCATTCTGCCATAGATGGCGGGTGACAGCCCTGGCTCTGGAGTCAGCCTGTGTGGATTCACATCCTGGCTCTGTCGCTGTCTACCTGTGCATCTTTGGACAAGCTGCTAAACCTCCCTAAGCCTCAACTTCCTCATTTATAAAATGTGGCTAGTATCTACCTGGTAGAGTTGTGAGGATTAAATGAGAAAATGCACACGAAGCACCTGGCACATAGCACACAATAAATGTTAGCCCTTTATAGTAATAAATATGAGATGTTACAGTGATTACCCCTGCTGTGCTGATCTTGGGTATTCTTGAAGACTCATTGATAAAAGGCAAAGGCCCCAAGCTAACCTAGCACTCTTCCAGGACCAAGAATGCCCCATTCTCTAATTCTCCCAGCCTTCTCTTTCTTTGAAGGAGATTGAGAGGATGCTGGCCCCAGCTTGAGATCAAATGTCCTTCTCTGGTTTATCTGGCCTCTGGGTTTGGGCCACCAGGAGAAAGGACTCTCTGTGGTCTGGGCACAATCACAGTCTCAGGCCAGGCAGAAAGAACAGATGGGGGTGAGAAATCGATGTACAGCCTGCCTGAATCCCTCCCTTCAAATATGAGTTCTGGGTTCCCTCCCTGTTTGGCCCCAGGTTACCCTCAGGCTTTTTAGTGGAGATGAATCCCCTTCTTATTCAGAATACTTCTACCTCCCTGTCACGAAGAGGAAAGGGCTGGTGGGGGCAGAGATAAGTCTGTCTGGGTTCTCCACCTAGGCTGGGTACATTGATGCACTGAACAGATGGCAAAGGGGCAGATACCGGAACGCCTCGCCCAAGAGGGGAATTGCAGTAGAAATGGCTCCTTAGAGCAGAGCTCCCCAGACCCCACATCCGGTGTGGCACAGATGAGTAGAACCATACTCAGCTTTCCAGCTTCTCTTAACCATTCTGACTTGCTTAAAAACAAGAAGCCATTTGGGATGGCTGGTTGACGAAGGTGGACTGTAGAAGAAAAAGGAACTGGTCCCTGTGGGGTTCAAAGAAAGGTCACTGGGCTACTGCCTAGGCTTTCTGGCATCTCTGGGTGCCCCTTGGTAGCTTGACAGGGCCCAGTTGGAACTTGGAGGAAGGAGTGGTACTGGCTGGGAGAGGCTCCCTCTCTGCCACAGAGAAAAAAATTCAGGGTGACTGTGCCTCACCTGAGAGTGTCTTGCTGCTGCCTTTGCAACTCTCTGCTCCTCCTTCTTAGATATATGTGCAGCCAAGACAGTGAGTGGCTTCCTGCACAGGCCTGGACTTCCTTACCCAGAGCTCTCAATGTGAGCTGAGGAGAGAAGGGCCAGCATCTAAGCTGTTGGAATGGGTCTCCCTGCCTCTATGAGAGCCATAAAACGTCATTTAATTCATGCTCCTGTCACTGGGTAGCCTAAGTCTTTTGACTTGCTTCTAATCTAGGAGAGGTGGAAGCTGCCTCTCTGTGCTGTGGCTAATGCCTTTTTGAAAATCAACACAGGGCCCTTTCTTGGTTTCTGAAATCGATGACACTCTTAAACTATGCTACCCCAACTCCTGTGTCTCCCTCTTCGGCCCAGGGCAGCCTGGATGACAGAATGTCTTCTGCCTGCCCCCTCCCTTCCACCAAAGTTGGAGGCCCCAAACATAGATGCAAAAGCATCCTCCTTATCAGTTACCTCTGGGTACTAGGCTCCAGCCCCAGCGGCTCAGAAAAGCATGCCAGCTCCTGGGCAGATCTTGGCTGTGGTCTCAGATGGGGCAAGACAGCAGCTGAGTGAAGTGTAAGCTCTCAGTCCATGGCCCTGGGCCCCATCGGCATTTCTCTTCTTGGTAGTCTTTCTTTCTGTACAGCAGCCTTGCTGAAACAGGAAACAGACAAAGCCACCGTACTCGCAAACCCCAGTTCCTCTCTCTTGCTCTCTGGCAAGATCTGAGTGGGCCCCAGAACTCTTGAGGCCTCCAGGGCTGGGCTCAGGAGCTCCTCCCATCAGTGGGCACCCCAGCCACCCTTTCTCTTGCTACTGTATTGGTTGAAGCTACTCCGGTTACAAGTCAAGCTCCCATTCCAGGATGAGACAAGGATGGGCCTCTGGATCAGATGCAAACCCTGTAGTTTCTGTAAGGGAAAAAAGCCATTTCAGTAGTGGGACCTAGAAGAGGTGTTCCCAGTGTGGGTTTTCATGTGTATCAGGTAATTTTCTGTGTAAGGCTTTTCTCTTTCCTTCAGTCATCTCTCCCCAGCCCTGGTGGTGTAAAGAGTTTCCACTCTTCTAGAGTACCTGCTGTCTTCCTCAGAATTTTGGAATGAATTCCACTCTGGGTTTGCTCCTTTTTTAAGCAATGAGGAGGGAGTGCAAAGGTGGTGAATGGGTGACTGAAGAATGAAGAGAGGAATAGTAGACAGAATCTTTTTTTTTTTAGGTGGCTTAAGTCAACAGAAATTTATTCTCTCGCAATCCTGAAGGCCAGAAGTCCAAAATCAAGTTATCAGCAGGGCCATTTTCCCTCTGAAGGCTCTAGAGGGGAAAATCCTTCCTCGCCTCTTCCAGTTTCTGGTGGTTCCTTGCAATCTTTGGTGTTCCTTGGTGTCTTAGTTGCCTAGTGCTGCTATAACAGAAACACCACAAGTGGATGACTTTAACAAAGAGAAGTTTATTCTCTCACAGTTTAGGAGGCTAGAAGTCCGAATTCAGGGCGCCAGCTCCAAGGGATGGCTGTCTCTCTCTGTCAGCTCTAGGGGAAGGTCCTTGTCATCAATCTTTCCCTGGTCTAGGAGCTTCTCAGTGCAGGGACCTCGATTTCAAAGGACATGCTCCCCTCCTGGTTCTTCATTCTTGGTGGTATGAATTCCCCGTCTCTGTGCTCACTTCTCTCTTATGTCTCAGAAGAGATTGACTCAAACTACAACCTAATCCTGTAGATTGAGTCCTGCCTTATTAGTATAACTGCCTCTAATCCTGCCTCATTAACATCACAGAGATAGGATTTACAACACATAGGAAAATCACACTAGATGACAAAATGGTGGACAGTCACACAATACTGGGAATCATGGCCTAGCCAAGTTGACACACATTTTTTGGGAACACAATTTAATCCATAACACTTGGCTTATATAGATGCATCACTCCAATCTGTGCTTCTATTTTCACATGGCTGTTTTTCCCAGTGTCTGTTTCTTTTCCATTTTATATTTAAGAAATTTTATTGTGATGAAAATATATATAACAAAACATACACCAAGTCAATAATTTCTATATGTACAATTTAGTGACATTGATTACATTATTCAAGTTGTGCAACAATTCTCTGTGTTTTCCAAATCATTCCACCACCATTAACATAAACTCAGTGAACCCTAAGCAAAAATTTCCCCCTCCTCCTTCACTCCTACCCCTGGTAACTACTACTAATCTTGGTTTCGATATATTTGCTTATTTCATGTAAGTGAGGTCATACAGAATTTGTCCTTTCGTGACTGACTTATTTCGCTCAGCATGATGTTTTCAAGGTTCACCCACGTTGTGGCATGCATTAGGATTTCATTTCTCTTTATAGCTGAGTAGTATTACATTGTGTGTATATACCACATTTTGTTTTTCTATTTGTCTGTTGAAGGACATTTCCGTTGTTTCTGCCTTTTGGCTATTGTGAAAAGTGCTGCAACGAACATTGGTGTATAGGTTTCTGTTTGTGTTCCTGCCTTCACTCCTTCTTGGAATATACCTAGGATTGGGATTGCTGGGTCATATAGTAGTTCTGTGTTCAACCTTTTGAGGAACTGCCAAACTCTTTTCCACAGTGGCTGCACCATTTTATATACCCACCAGCATTGGATAAGTGTTCTACTTTCTCCATAATCTTGCCAGTACCTATTGTTTTCTGTTTGTTTTTTAATCATTGCCATTCTAATAAGGGTGAGATGATGTCTCATTGTGATTTTTATTTACATCTCTCTAATGGTTAATGGTTAATCCCACCACGGATCTGTCAGTTTATCCTACTGTGGTGGCTTGCGTGTTGCTTTGATACTGGAATCTTTGCCACCGGTGTTTCAAATACCAGCAGGGCCACCCTTACTGGACAGGTTTCAGCGGAACTTCCAGACTAAGACATACTAGGAAGAAGGACCTGGCAGTCTACTGAAAAAATTGGCCAGTGAAAACCTTATGAATAGCAGGAGACCATTGTCTGATATAGTGCTGGAAGATGAGCCCATCAGGTTGGAAGGCAGTAGTAGAGGGTCAGCGAAAAAGAGGAAGGCCCTCAACGAGATGGGTTGACACAGTGGCTGCAACAATGGGCTCAAACATAACAATTGTGAGACTGGCGCAGAATCAGGCAGTGTTTGGTTCTATTGTACATGGGGTCGCTATGAGTTGGAATGGACTCAGTGGCACCTAACAACAACAACAACAATGATTAATGATGTTAAGCATCTTTTTATGTGCTTGTTTGACTATCCTCTTTGGTGAACTGTCTGTTCAAGTCCTTTGTCCAAGTTTTATTGGGTTGTTTATCTTGTTGTTAAGTTGGCAGAATCTTGTAAAACATTCTTTTTCCCAGTCAGATGGACTACTTGGGGAAAAACTAAAAGGAACTTATCTGCATGCATTAAAAAGAAACCATTACAAATTTTATACTCAGGAAATTCCCAAGAAATTCAGCATAAAAGAATGGAGAAGGGCCTGAATTGGGACAGGTTAACTGAGTAGCTTTGTAAGCTTGTGCAGTTCACCTTGTCTAAATGATCCACTCAGTATGGTGGTTGGATGACGTATGTGGCTCCTATGAACTCTAAGGTTTGATACATGTGAGGTGTGACTATAAAGTAATGAGACTATTAAATAACTGCAATAAGATAAAATGTATTAACACACGTGTGAGGGTTGTAACAATCTTCTTTGCCTACTTCTTCCACCATTCTCGGAGGAGAAAAAGGACAAGGGATACACGAAAAGCACAGGGAATGGGTTATTGAGAGAAAAGCACTAGAACTGATGACAAACAACATTCCCTCAGGATCATATGTTTGGGAGCATGGTATATGGGGATGAAAATGAGTAAAGGACAGATGGTGGAATAAGAGAGAGAATTTTATTGGCATAAATGAGTGAGAGGGTTCTGGGAGTCTAGGGTGCTAGAGCATAAGAGAGGATAGGAGATTGTGATTGGAGTTACTGCAGACCAACGATTTGGAATCCATTAGAAGTAAAAAGGAAATGTGTACAAAGATCAAAAGCCCTTTTAGGACTATGCAGCACTCAATGGCATACTACACCCACTTTAACTGGGGTTTGGAGAGGTTAATAATGTACTCAAGGTCACAAGTGTTGGACCCAGGTTTGCTTGACATCAGAGCCTGAGCTCTTAACGCTATGCTCTGAGAACAATGTAATTAATAAGATTGTCCTATCTATCCGTATCTAGCTAGCTAGCTAGCCATTCTATCTAGCTATTCTATCCAATCTATCAAGAACCAGAGAGAAAAAGAGAAAGAAAGAGGGAGAGAGAATGAACTCTGGATATAGAGAATATATCTTATTTTCAAATGCCCATGAAACATTAAAAAATTGACCATACTGATCTAAAACAAACCTGAATACACTAAAAAAAAAAAAAAATTGATGTATTGTAGCTGGATTCTCTGGCCAAAGTACAATAAAATTAGAAATAAGTAACAGAAGTAGGAAGAAATAAATACTTCAACTGCTTGAAAAAAATTCTCCCTATTTACTCTTAAAATGTTGTTGTTAGGTCTAGTCGAGTTGGTTCCGACTCATAGCGACCCTATGTACAACTGAACCAAACACTACCTGGTCCTGTGTCATCCTCATAATTGTTATACTTGAGCCATTGTTCCAGCCACTGTGTCAGTCCATCTCATTGAGGGTCTTCCTCTTTTTCAATGACCCTCTACGTTACCAAGCATGATGTCCTTCTCCAGGGACTGGTCCCTCCTGTTAACATGTCCAAAGTACATGAGACGAAGACTCGCCATCCTTGCCTCCAAGCAGCATTCTGGCTGTACTTCTTCCAAGACAGATTTGTTTGTTCTTCTGGTAGACCATGGTATATTCGGTATTCTTCGCCAACACCACGATTCAAAGGAGTTAATTCTTCTTCGGTCTTCTTTATTCATTGTCCAGCTTTCGCAGGCATATGAGGTGATTGAAAACACCATGGCTTGAGTCAGGCACACCTTAGTCCTTAGACATCTTTGCTTTTTAACACTTTAAAGAGGTTGTTTGTAGCAGATTTGCCCAGTGCAATGCGTTGTTTGATTTCTTGACTGCTGCTTCCATGGGTGTTGATTGTGGATCCAAATAAAATGAAATCCTTGACAACTTCAGTCTTTTCTCTGTTTATCATCCAGTTGTGAGGATTTTTGTTTTCTTTATGTTAAGATGTAATCTATACTGAAGGCTGTAATCTTTTTGTGTGTGTGTGTGCTTTAGGTGAAGGTTTAGAGAGCAAACAGTTTCTCATTAAACAATTAATATACATATTGTTTTGTGACATTGGTTGCCAACCCCATGCTTGTCAACGTTCTCCCCTTCTTGACCTCAGGTTCCCCATTTCCATTTGTCCAGCTTTCCTGTTCCCTCCTGCCTTCTTGTCGTTGCCCCTGGGCTGGTGTGCCCATTTAGTCTCATATACATGGTTGAGCTACGTGTATTATTGTTTGTTTTACAAGCCTGTCTAATCTTTGGTGAACCTCAGGGGTGACTTCAGTACTGAGTTAAAAGGGTGTCTGGGGGCCATACTCTCAGGGTTTCTCCAGTCTCTGTCAGACCAGTAAGTCTGGTCTTTTTTTGTGAGTTAGAATTTTGTTCTACATTTATGTCTAGCTCTGTCTAGGACCCTCTATTGTGATCCCTGTCAGAGCAGTTGGTGGTGGTAGGTAGGCACCGCCGGGTTGTGCTGGACTCAGTCTGGT